GGCAGAGCGGCAGGCAGAGGGAGAAGCAGGCTCCCCACTGAGCAAGGATGTGGGACTCGATCCCAGGACTCTGGGACCGTGACCTGAGCCGAAGGCAGACGCTTTAACTGACTGAGCCACCCAGGCGCCCCTGCATTCTGTTTTTAAACTGTGATTTCTGGGTTGTGCATCCCAGGGAGGAACTTACAGAAAGTTCTTGTCATGTGTGCTTGTCATGTGTGCTTGTGCTTGTTATGTGTGATACCACAGTGGGAAGGGAGAGACAATGGGACAAGAGTGGAGCTCTGGCCCCCTTTCTTCCCTTGTATTTAAAAAAAAATGAAACAGGGCACCTGGGTGGCTCAGTGGGTTAGGTGTCTGCCTTTGGCTCAGGTCACAATCCCGGGGTCCTGGGATCAGCCCCACGTCAGGCTCCCTGCTCAGTGGGGAGCCTGCTTTTTCCTCTCCCTCTGTTCCTCTCCCCACTCGTTCTCTCTCTCAAATAAATAAAATCTTCAAAAAAAAAAAAATGAAACAACATGTTGTGAATATGGGTGGGGAAAGTGGCATACTTATCACACTATGGGGGACAGTGAAAATGAGTACAGCATCTTTGTGATTTTTTTAAAGATGTATTTTATGTATTTTAGAGAGAGAAAAAGCATGTGCGAACAGGGGGAGAGGGAGAGAATCCCCAAGCAGACTCCCTGCCGAGCGTGGAGCCCCATGTGGGGCTCAATCCCATGACCCTGAGATCGTGACCGGAGCTGAAATCAAGAGTCGGACATTCAGCCGACTGAACCCTGAGTACAGCATCTTTGAAGGGCAGTTTGGTACTATCTGCTATTTCTAACTGCTTGGCCCTGAATTCTTCTTCAAAGATTTTATCTTATAAATCCTATCTTTCTTATAGTCAAACATGGTGTATGTGAAGATGTATGTAATGTATATTCATTTCACCATTGTTTGTAACAGCAAGACCCTGGAAGCAGCTGAATTGTATTGCTGGTGGGGGATTGATTGAATCAATTATGGTATATTCTTAGAGTGGGATACTGGGCCACTGTTTAAAATAGTAGGTCATGTTTACTAAGAAGGGGTGATCTCCAGGATACATTCTTAAGTTAAAAACAACAACAACAACATGCAGAAAAGTGTATGTGGTATGTTCCCATGTGTGGGAAAAGTGGGAGGTAAAAGTGTATCTACACACCCACCCACACACATCACGTGCTTGATTATGCAGAGACTGTTGCTGGCAGACACCAAGAAAGAAGGTGGTTGTAAAATACTGTTTACCTCTTGGGGGGAATGCTTAAGGGATTGGGGTCTAGAGTGGATAGAAGATGTTGTATATCTTGCATATGTTTTTGAATTTTTTATTTTTTTTAAAGATTTTTATTTATTGAGAGAGAGAGAGAATGATAGAGAGAGAGCATGAGAGGGAGGAGAGTCAGAGGGAGAAGCAGACTCCCTGCTGAGCAGGGAGCCCGATGCAGGACTCGATCCTGGGACTCCGGGATCATGACCTGAGCCGAAGGCAGTCGCTCAACCAACTGAGCCACCCAGGCACCTATGTTTTTGAATTTTAAAACATACGCATATAGTATCCTTTCTGTTAAAAATAAACTGGTTTACAAAAAACTTCACTTTGGGAGTTTTCAACGTGAAAGCCCCTCTCCTTTTTAGAGGAGAATGGCAGATTTCCGTGTGGTTGCTGATCCCCGGTGTTTATTGAGCACATGCTGAGCGCCAGGCACCACCCCATCGTTTCTGGCTCAGTGTTCTCATGTCCGTACGCTGTGGGTCTGTGCATTGGTAGGCTCTGCCTGGACCCTAGCAGTTGCCCAGTGCACGTGTGAGCCACGGAAGTCCCATTTGCAGGAGAGGGGAGGAGAAGTCTTTGTGCAAGGTCATGTGGTATGCAGCAGAGGTGGTGAGAGTCACAGCAATCTTTCAAGTGTTTCAGGGCAGAGGTGACCCAGCTGCTTCTCAGAAATCGAGGTTATCTGGAAGGGCTCTCAAGCCTGTCCTGCCTCTAGTGCCTGGCACCTCTCTTGAGACCACATGCAAGTGTTCTGTCAGTATTAATTTTTCCATTTGTAGGACTCTTTGCTCTGGAAAGTTGGAGCTGTTTGTGGACCAAATGAATCACCGATGTGTTGAGAAACAGCAAAGGCCAGGAGATTGTGTCCTGTGGTGTCCTTTTCTGACTCATTATTATCTTCCCAACTCTTGTGTATGCATCGGAGGGCTAAAGGACTCTAACTTTGCTCCCTTAAAAAGGCCACCGTCAGGGCCTTTCTTAGCAAAAAAAGATGTTCCCAGAGGTACTTTTCCTGTTGTTTCCTGTAGCCAGCCACATTTCTAACCCATCACCGAGCGTTTCATGGAACCAGACGCTTGCTCTCTTCTCTCTTCCTTATCATTTGGTAACAAATGCTGTAAACAGGTTATTCATCTCAAGAGGGCTGTTCTTACAGTGTTGTGATTTGATCAGCTGTAATCCACATGGGCAAGAGGACTGGAATGAAAAGTTTATAATATCGAAATCACAAAAACGGACCTGAGTATTATTTGAGAGTGTGACATCATCTGTAACATTCAGATGAAATTCTTGCTAGTGAGGCCTGTTTGACATTGGCACTTTGCTGTGTCTCGAGACGCTGTTGTGGGCTCATTCAGAGAGTGCCCTTAAGTACTTTAAGTATCACTGCCCTTGTGTGATGGGGAATGTAGTGGTTTTAGTTTACTGGGAGCTGGATGTATATATCAGCAGTGTTCTCCTAACTCCCCAAATAGTAATTCTATCTCCCCTGCCTGAGTGCAGATGCAAAGTTGGTGTCACTGCTGTTTCTTGTATGAGGCGTTTCCTGGTTCCCCCCACGCTATGCTATGCTCCTCTTGTTCTGTGTAGTATTTAATTAAGGCAGTTATCTTACTGGCTTTAAATAATTGTAGCTGTTTGTAGCCGGCTCCACATCAGGCTGAGTGCCAGGAACGATGGCCTGGATCATCCTGCTTCCTCTGTGCATAGCCAGTGGGCAGCATATGTCACGGCCCTTCAGAGTTCATTAGCCAGGATTCTTTTGACCTCCAAGTAGAACCCCAACTTGAACTGCCTTCCACAGAAAGGGGATTTATGCCATTGGAAAGTCCAGGGATGGAGATCCAGGCGTGGTTTAAACGGTGTTGCGAAGGCTTACACAGTTTTTTCCATCCCTCAGCATCACCTACCATTTCTTTTTGGGCTTTGGTGGCAAGATGGCTATCAGCACTTCTAGCAAAAGAAAAAAAAGGGCACTTTTCCAACAGTTCAAGAAAAGTCCCAGAATTGAGTCTCCATGTTTCTGATTGGTCTTATCTGAGTCACATGCCCATCCCCAGACCAATTCCTGTCCTAGGCAAACGCGATGGTCTGATTGGCCATCCTGGATCAAATGCCCGCCCCCTGAAGGAGCTGGGGTAGGGTCTGCACCTCCCAGAGGGCAAGGACTGAGGTGAGGGGAGGTGGATATTCCCCCAGGAAAGCCTGGGAACCCTCTGTGCGTGGAGGGAGGGTTGGGTAAAGCAAAAGCAATGATGTCCAATAGGGTCGGTTTTTAACCAGTGTTTACTCAGTGAATGAATTAACAGATGAATGAGCAAACAGGAGCGTGCTGCTGATTGTGTGAGCTGGTTATACAATACCTGGCATGGGGTTTTAACAGATGGAGCCTTTGCACGAGGAAGGATAAAAGAGAGCCTTGAAATCAAGTCCTGTGAGGATGACATTAAATTAGCTGAAATATTTAACAAGAAATAGGAGACACGTGAAAGCCGTTTCCAACCGTCTGAAGGGCATTCCTAGAAAGGGAGCCTTTGCTGGGTCCTCACTTTATGTCTTAGGTGCTGGGCTAGACACTTGGATCAGCATTTCCCCGCTTTTATTTTCATTTTATTGGTATTAGACAGTCCACTTATGCTCATTATAGAAAAGCCAAAAGGGCACATAAAAGAGAAAAATAAATGCCCTCCTGTAATCTTACCATCGAAGGCTAATTGTTATTATTACCTAGGCATATATTCTGTCAACCTTTTTTCCTTGTTTGTAGCTGCATTAAAAAAAATTCTTACTTAATCTTGATAACGGCCCTTGTCAGAGAAAGAACCTGTGGCTCAGACTGAGGCACTGGAATCCTTGGGCCAGAATTCAGTCCCCCCATGTGCCAGCCTCAGAAGTCCTCTCTCATTTCTGGGCTTGGGTTTGCCTGCTACATAAGCAGCAGTGTGTGCTCTAACAGGGTTTTACTACCGTTCTATTCTGAGAATCCTGACTTCATCACTCCCTGTTCATCCACTCACTCTTTCATTCATGTACTCAGGAAATCTTTTACTGGGTGCCGGGGGTGTACTGATGAATGAGGCAAGGCTCCTGCCCCTCTGGAGCTGACTATCTCGCTGAGCTCCACCTCATCTGTAAATGGTTAGATCAGCAGCCCCTAGGGCTGTGGCAGGACTGCTGATTCCTCCCGTCCCCTGCCTTTGTCGGGAAGCAACCAGCAAAGCAAAGAGGAACATCACGGCCAGAGGCCTAGTTGATATATGCCCTCTGCCTAGGATCCCTCTCCTGAAGGGAATGGGTGGATGTTGAGGGATGGGAGGCTCAGGGTATGCATTACCTGTCCTCACCCTTCCAGGCCTGGCTCTGCTGGGTAATCTGGGGTTTGGCCCATATTGTATACATATGATGACCCTATTTTTGAACCCCAGACTAGGACTCACCATATGAAGCAGGGTTAGCCAAACAGAAGGAGGGAAATGCATATTTCTTGAATGCGACCTTAGGTACTTTTGCATGGCTCTCCTTGCCTGGGAAGGTAGGTATTAACATCCTCATTTTGTAGGGGAGGACTCTGAGGCTCAGTTGGATCTGTGATTTGAGCTCAGGCCTGTCTGATGGCTCCCAGTCCTGTGAGCTCCTTCTTCATGTTCCTCTGTTCCAGATGCATCTGGGGAGTAGGGCTTTAAAAGGCTATGGAATGAAATGTCAGTTTCATTCCATTCACCTATTTAAAAAAGTATTTATTGAGGGCCTTGTCCAGAAACTCTGCTAAGCCTGGGATACTGGCTGGCCAAGACCAATGAGGGCTCCTACTCCCAGGGAACTTGAAGTCTGAGTTAAATCATTAGAAGAGTGATGATATCTCTGCATACTCCCTTGCTCGGTTCTTCATTGAGCCATGCACGTGGATGTATCAGTTAGGGTGCTTTGAGTTGTAAGGGACAGAAAACCTAGTTCAAACTGGATAACTGATAGGAGCAGTTGAGTGATTCACATAGGGGATAGGTTTCAGGCACACTTTGATCAGGGCTCCGGCTTCATTTCTTGGTGATTCTCTGGGCTCCGCACTTGTGTCTGTTGGCTTTGTTCTCAGGTTGACTCCCTTCATAGTGGTGAGAGGGCTGCTAGCAGCTTTGTTCATCGCTAGCAGACATCAGGAAGAGAACAGGTGTGTTCCAGGAGTGTAGAGGAGAGCTGTCCAATGTGGTGACCTGGCTGCTGGTACCTCTCAGACCACATGCTTGTTGGATCACATCCAGGGGAGGAAGAGCTACCATCTCTCCCAGGGCCACTGAAGAAAATTTCTGAGCTTCCCTCTGATGGGATCATCTCAGGACGCCTCCATCTCAATCCATCATGGTGGCAGAGGAAATGGGATAACACTGATTGGCTTAGACCAGTCAGGACTCATCATCCCTGGAACTGACAAATGAGGACCGAATGACTGAAGGATGCTGCTTGGTGGGAAGAATAGAATGGATGCTGAAGACACAGCTACAGTCCATAAGGGGGTAGGTAGTGTGTAGGATGTGGGTGTAGGAAAATGAGCAAGGTCTCCCTTCTCTTAAAAAAAAGGCGGGGGTGGGGGGAGGCCTTTCTCTTAAAAAGCTTGCCTTCTAGTGAGCTTCCTGAGACTTTGGCAGTGATCAGAGGAAGGGCATTTACTACATTTACTGAACGCTAGGCACTCTATGTGTTTCCTTAGTTCTTATAACACCCCTGTCAAGTAGGTATTTCCATTTCACAGATGAAGAAACAAGTTCAGAGAGAGGCTAAGTCACCAGCAGCCACACGCCTAAGAGAGCAAGGTGTTTTGAGGCTGTGCATCCCACATTCCTTCCTCTCCTTTCTGTGATGAGAAAGTAGAGAAAGTAGATGGTTACCAGAGACCCTACAAAGGTTCATCTAATGACACCCCTACAACAAGCAGGGCCTTGGGAGTAGTTACTCCTTTTCATTTCAGGCTTTTATTAGTGGAATTCTGCCTGCTTTTTTTTTTTTTTTTTCCTTTAACTAACTCTAGAGGGGAGGAAAACTCCTGTCCCAGGTCCAGATAAGCAACCTATAATTGAGCTTCTGAGAAGAGCAGAACCATTGTCAACTCACATTGCATCAGAAGAGATGGTTGCATTCAGATAATTTTACAAAAATGGTTTCTCTCTGCTTTTGACTTTGCTGCCTGAGGCTTCCATTTGGTTTTAAAGTAATAGAGTAACTATTATGTAACTGTATACAATGTTTCTTTCCCCTGGGCTCAAGTTCACTCATGTGTTCAAAATACAGAATACATTTTTTGGTGAAGAGTTTATGTAAAGCCAGTGTGATTCCTAAATTAAACTGCCAAAACAAGGGCGTGCAAGCCGGATTTTCTGGTTTTCTCCAGACTCTGCAGAGATATAACATCCAACAGAGCAGGAGATGATTTACCAAAACTCATGCGTGTGCTGGTGGGGAAATGTCTGTGTTCTTATTGCCCCCTGCACCTACCGTGCATGTCTTGAGCTTTGCTGCCCATGGGAAAGAGCACTGGTTTATTCATAGATATCCTGACCTCATTTACTTGCACCCCGCTGGACATGGTTTCATCCTGGGAGAAATTAACAAAAAATGGGGAAATAAAAATGGTGGCTGGTGACAAGTTGACACATAAGACTTTCAAGTTAGATACTGGTTTTTGGAGTTCTTGTGTCTGCCTTCCATTTTTTTCAGGTTATTACTGATGATAATGAATTTACCTATCCAAATTTCTATTAAATTGTCTACCATGTTTTGGGTCCTGGGGATAGAGAGCCGAACAAAGCATAGTCTCCATTACTAATAGTCTTCAGTGGTCCTCCTCTGGACAGATCTTCTCCCAGTCTGTCCATACCAGTATGTTTTTTTGGTTCTGATTTACTCTGGGCCTGGCAAACTCATTAAATTGGACCTTGGAAAAAGGGTGAAGTACAGAAGAGGAAACAGGAAAGTCCTGCGGGTAGATGCTTAGGCTTAGGTGTCAAGAGGGATTGCTGAGCTCATCTTGTAGACTCTAGAGGGTGACTACCGTGGTTGTCATTAGGACTAGTATTTAGGGTTTGTTTTTTTGTTGTTGTTACCACAGCGTAACCTAACTCATCCTGACCGATGTGACCACCACTATCATAGAGGGGGCAGGATTCCTAGAATCTGGCCAGCTTGTGTATGCACTTGTGAATGCGTGCAGGTGCAAATACATATAAGTATAGATATGAATCTGGTGCCTGTGTATCACAGTGGTTCTCAAACTCATCTGCATATTAGAATCACTTGGGGATCTTTTAAAGTTCCAAAGCCCAGGACGTAGTATAGATGAATTAATTCACCAACTCTGGGGGTGGGCCATAAGCACTAATCGATTTTTTTTTTTTAAGATTTTATTTATTTATTTATTTGACAGAGACAGAGATAGCGAGAGCGGGAACACAAGCAGCGGGAGTGGGAGAGGGAGAAGCAGGCTTCCCCCTAGGAGGGAGCCCGATGTGGGGCTCGATCCCAGGACTCTGGGATCATGACCTGAGCCGAAGGCAGACGCTTAACAACTGAGCCACCCAGGTGCCCCAGCACTAATCGATTTTAAGCTCTCTGGGTGATTCCAGTTTGCAGACAAGCTCAAGAACCACTGGCTTATGAAAATTGTAATAATAACATCCCTGTTATTATCTGAAGAGGAGTAGGGATAGTGGTAATGACAATGATACTAGCCATCATTATCCTTTACTGACTGCTTCGTATCTGCCCGGCAGTTTCCTGAGTGTATACCAAACATTGTCGCATCTAATCCATACTGCAGCCCTGCCAGACAGCTCTGTAGGTGGTTGGAGAAGGAAAAGAAGGGGGTCATATCTTTTAAACTGATGTCAGCCACAGAGCTGCTTAATCCAGATTGTCAGGTATAGTCCAGAAGGATGGAGTTGTTGGGCTAATCTTATTGACCCCAGAATGACCGCTGTGGTCATCATTGGGGTTGAGACTCAGGGGTTGTTTGTTACCACAGCATAACCTGGCCCATCCTGATGGATGCAGCCATCCTTTTAATAACCACAGTGGATTCAGGAGTCGATATGCAAAAGCACATTTTGCAAAGTTATAAATTGAGAGTGAGTTTATTTTGGGTTGTGGCTTGGAAAGAGAAATGAGTGTAGTAAACCAAGCTATTAATCTTGGGTTGGTTGATTCATCCATCAAAATCACTCAGTGTTTCAAGGAATCAGGTTAAATAAATTAATAAAACATTACCTTGTATGTTTGTAGTGCTTTTCTCAATGGGATACATGGTGCTATAGGAACGTCATACAATTGCTAGTCTTCTTGACACATCCTAGAAGGACTGTTGGGCATCAGTAGGGCCATGTGTTACTGTAAGGTAATAACAGGAGCTAAGTGGTAGTGAAACGCTTACCCAACATCCATAGGGATGCCTGGCTGGAGTCTTGGTGGGTAGGCAGGAGTTTGGCCGGGAGGTGTGGTAGTGTTGTGAAGGGTGTTCATAGCACAGAGAATAGCACAGGTAAAGACCCAATAGCAAGAAGTAGTATTTATAGGAGCTGTATAATCAGTTTAGTATTAGTACCGAGAAAGACGTCATTCCCCGCTCTTGTGGGTGATTGAGAAGTCCCATACAACCTGCATTTCCACTTGTTTCTTTATCATTTGGTACATGTCTCCTAACATTTTCCCCCCACTTTGGGAGAGATTTGTGTGTAATGAAGGACCAAATAAGCATAAGGCTTTAATCCACTTCATTTACCATAAAAGATCACACCAGACACCACACCTAATGTTGTACAAATGCTTATTAGTAGAGGTTTTTTTTTTTTTTTAAGATTTTATTTATTTATTTGACAGAGAGAGAGAGATAGCCAGAGCAGGAACACAAGCAGGGGGAGTGGGAGAGGGAGAAGCAGGCTTCCCGCAGGAGCACGGAGCCTGATGCGGGGCATCATAGTGTTGCAGGATTTTTTTTCTCCATCCCTGCCCACGGTTCTTGGTCACGCCACTTTGAAGTATGAAGAGGGAGACCAGACAGCAGTGGGCAGAGAAGCAAGGTTTACTGAACGATAGCAAAGTGATAGCACAAGCTCCCAAGGAGGGAGGGGACCCAAAGGGGTTGCCCAGTAGAGGTTTTTTTTTTACGGGACTCTGTTGATGCCTCAACCTTTGGATCCAGCCATTGGAAATGAACTCAGCCCGTGTCTGACTCTCACTCTGAGTCCAGGCCTTGGGGATCGTGTTCCCAGGAGACCCCTCTGAGCCCCTCTTGGGCCTTCAGTTCTCTTCAGTGTAAAACGTTGGATTGAAGGTGATTTCCAAGGTCGCTTACATGTCTAAAATTAGGTGATTCATCAGGTACTCATTAATGCAAGTGTCCTGTTAAATAAAAATGCTAAGTAAATACTGAAATGGATACTGCAGACAGACCAGAGCTTGGGCAAGGTGGCATTCTCCTCTCTACCTTGGTTTGTGCATTAAAATAGAAGGAGGGATGCTTTCTCATTAAACCTGTGCTCTAACATGAAATCAACACCAGGATTTTAGAGAGCAAGCTAGCTAAACCAGCTAAGCTGCTTCTTAACTTGGACCCTATTGGTTCTCTCTTAGAAAGGTGGTGGGGTTTTTTTTTTGTTGGTTTTGTGTTTTTTTTTAAATCATATGCAATATCTTTTCTTCTGTAGCCTCAAAACTTAAAACTTTTTCACACTGTAAGCTCGTCTTAGACATCCCCATTGTTCTGAATTTCAGCTAGTTGGTTAGACACCTAATCATTTTGGCGACTTGGGTGGGGAGGGTTTATATCTCACCTCCTTGCGTTGCTCATCTGTCTGGTTTTAGGGCTGTGTCCATGTTGGGAGTCTGGAGTAGGGTGATGGCCCTAGGACTGGGATAACTCAGGCTGGACCAGTGCTTGACCAGCTTGACCAGGTTTGACCAGCGGCACCTGTTTGAGTGCATGCCTTATGCCAGGATGGTGCCCAGCTCTGTGCCAGCACTGGGGATACAGTGGTAACAAAACAGCATGGGCTCTGCCCTTGTGGGGCTCCCAGTGTTGAAGGAAGTACACAAATCACTGTGTGATCATAATTATGTATGGGCTATAAACAAGAAGCACAGGGTCCTGAGCACTCTCATAGCAGGGCATCCAACCTAGTTTGCTTAAAGTTCAATTGCATGGACATGATGAAGAGCTCAGGAAAGCAGTTGGGGAAGCTGGAGGCATTAAGAGTCATGTACGATCAAATGCAAGATGGGAACAGGTGAAGGGTTCAAGATTAAGTCTGCAAATAGCACTAGGGTTCCTGTGAGTTGATAAAGTTCAGGACACCAGACCTTCCTTGGAAAGCTTCTTGCCCCTTCCCTTCTAATTCCGCAAGGCCAAAGGAATTATTCTTTCCATTAAAATCTCCAGGCCATATGTCTGTATCATTTCTTTGGCAGTTGTGTGTTGCTCTGTATTGTAGTAAGGCATTGTGTCTTTTATTCCCCGGAAGGGAAGGCT